CCCTCCCTGCTCCAGGGGGGCTGGTTCCCCCCGGCACGGCGTTCCCCGGCTCTGCAGCGAGGGTCCCAGGGCCGTGGGTACCCGGGCGGTGGTGGCAGCACACGGCGGGCAGGGAGATGTGCTCCCCACCCGAATCCCTGCCTGCGCTGGAGGAGCGGGCGAGGACAGAGCCCCCGCACCGGGACTGGGCACCCGGGGAGACCCCCTGGTATGGGAGCAAGCCCCTGCTGTTGTGTAAGAGGGAGCATCTTAAAATATGCCATGAAAAGACAGAAATGTCGATGTGAAGTGTAAGGCACATCAAGGCTGCAAATTGCCAAAGGGAAGGGGCTGTGCTGAATGCCGTGAGCGGGGGGTTATCGGCAATTACCAGCTGTCGTGCAGTGACACAAACGGCTGCTGCAATTCACGGTAACGGGCTTTTATCAGAAAGCACAAAAATAACAAGCCTTTGGTGTCGTGGAGCACCGGAGGCTGAGCGTTGGGAGAGTCTTTTCAGAAGGGCTACACAAAAGACCCAGTAACGGCCAGGACAACGCTTCATATCGGCAAAATTACAGTCCCACGTGCGGGTTTTGTAAAAGGGCTTCCAACGTTGCTTGAGCCGGGGCGTTGAAGGGAGCTCTGCCGTGGGGATGGGGCTGTTGGCAGCACCGGGAAATGGAGGCACGTGGGTATGTTTTGAAAGCCCTGCAAAGGCTTTTAAGATGGAAAGGCTGCTACGAAATAAATCAGATCAGCCTGGGCAACGAGGGCTGGATCCAGAAGAGAAGGTGGAAGCGCTGCCTTTCAGGTGGAGAGAAATCTTTACTGGAGCTTTTAACACTGAAAGAGCAGGGGACAGATATGCTGGTGAAAGAAGGGCATGAAACAGAGCTTTAGGAGGCAGCAGTCAAACGGTTGAAGGCAGTAGTGCTAATTAATAGAAACCTATCAACAAGAAAGCTAAAGGCACCCGCAGCCACAGAGACCCCCGGTGCTGCCCCATCTCCCACCGAGCTGCGGGACAGTGGCACGGGTTGATGGCCATCGCTGCTGAGGTCCAGGGTCATGCCGTTAGAATCCTCCTGGAACCCAAAAGCTGAACAGGGAGAGAAAGGTCAGTCCCAGCCAGACCAGAAATGGCTGAAATGAGTTATGGAAGAGGGCTTTCCTCCTCCTTCCCCCAAACCAAGGGCTGCCTGATGTGGGACGGGTTAGAGAGGAACCTCTTGCTCCGGGGAGTTCTCCCCGGGGCTGAGTCCCCTGCCAGTGTCAGGCACAGCCTCCGGGAAAGCTCCTCTCTCCGCATCATCCCGCAGCCCTGCCTCCGAACGCCCCGGTTGTGCTGGCACCCGCCCTGATGCCCACAGAGGAGGCGATGAGCTGAGCCCCCAGGGACCTTTCTACTGGGACCCCGGGCTCCATCCTTGGCCAGGGCCAGCCACAGGGCATCAGGGGCCAGCAAAGTTGGGGCCGGCGGGCGAGGAGAGGAGCAGGGCTCTGCCTCCTGTGTTGCAGTGCTCGGCCACCTGCGGCGTGGGCGCGATCTGGAGGACCGTCCGCTGCAGCACCGGCAGCGATGACGGCTGCACCGCAGCGAACAAACCCGTCCCGGCTCGGAGGTGTTCCCTGAGACCCTGCTCGTCGTGGCGTGTGGGGAACTGGAGTAAGGTAAACGGGCGTGTGGCTGGTGGGGAGGGTCCCGAAAAACCCATGGAGAAATGAAGGCGGGTTGGTCCTGCCCTGTGGCTCGGCAGTACCGGCTCTCGGGGCGTGTGCTTGCCCCATGGCTCACAAAGGCAGAGGGTGAAGATTTGCAGTTGCCACAAAGTTTAAACTACCTTATCCCATGATGATCTCTTCATTTTTCCTGCTCTTGGGCTGGTTAAAAGCCAGGGATTTTCAAAAGCTAAACAAAGAGTGGTTTGAAAGTCTTCAGAAGACGTTCTGGCCACTCTGCACTACCGGGGAGTGTTTGCAGTTGGGTTGGGTGAATCCGGGGGCTTCGATGGTGGGGAACAACCCTCCTTCCTCTGGGTGGCCGTCGTTTCTTGGGATCATTGGTTGTCTGATGCATAAAGACTTTGTTGCCGTTAGAACTGGAAACCGATAGCTTTCAGAGGGATGGTAGTGACCGATTCAGAGCTGCACGGTCTTTTCTCTAGCTTGGACTAGAGAAAGAGGTGACAAGAGATTAAGTATCAACTCAATCCAACCCAAGGCAGACCGTGTCTCTGGGGTCACCTCCCGTGGCCGGAGGGATTGCCCCTGCACCGGCCCCCGCTGCCCTTCCCTGATGTGATGCTCGTGTCATTTCCCAGTGCTCCAGGAGCTGCGGCGGGG